AATGTACAAAATTTTATTTTATTTTATTTTGAAGATCGCTACCGACTATATGACATGTAAACCAAATGGCGTCTGCCTCTCGACTGGATTTTTAAATCTGTGAAACATATTCTGACAAGCTTAAAACTGCTATAAAAAAAGGTTAATTGTGTTTAAGTTGAGTGTGCAAACGATTCAATGTATACAACAGTTTAAATAAAGCAGTGAAAGTCGGTAAAATAAATCTGTACATACTGAACTTAAAAACAGCTAATCGAACATTTTTTAACTCCGGGCACTACATGTGTCATATTATGACGTCATACGAGTATTAGCGATACAACTTCTCGGCGGAGAGTTTGGCGGTCACCGTGGCAGCGGGTAATATTTTTCCAATTGTCACCCTCCTGGAAGGGGTGACACAGAAACTTGTTAAAACGTCATTGACCAATGAAATAAAAGTATTTTACATGAAGGTAAGATAAGGAGTTTTATCAACTTTCAGGCAATGTAGAGCCTTGGAGCTGTAAGCTTAATTGTCTATTTGTCTAATTGTTTCACAACAACCAATAAAGAATCTTGTCTGGAACTGTCAAAGTGACAGAACATTCATGAATAAGTCAAACATGAGCAACAATGTATGTGCTGGACACAATGACATGAAATCAGTCTGATAAAGTTTGATCTTAAAACAAGTATGACATACTCGGGAAGGGGAGATAAGCATGATATACAAGGGTTCCTTGGTTGGTTGGTTAGTTGTTCAACACGCACTCAGCAATATTACAGCTATGTGATGTTGGTCGGTGAATAATTGAGTCTGGACCAGACAATCCAGTGATCAACAGCATGAGCATTGATCTACACAACTGGGATACAATGACGTGTGTCAATGAAGTTAATGACCACCTGATCCTATAAGTCGCCTCTTACAACAAGCATGGGTTGCGGAAGACCAATTCTAACCCGGATCTACACGGATGATATACCGATACAAGGGACCTATTCTGACCAGGAACCTTTCTTGAGACAAGACAAGGTTGATCTGACAGAATGAGCATTTATCCAACAAAACATATTTATTATTGTACATAATTTAAACTTCATTCAATCTGAGCATTAATATCTGTGAACTCTTCTACATACCAAGAGTGAGTGAGTGAGTTAAGTTTTACACCACTTTTAGCAATATTCCAGCAATATCATGGCGGGAGACACCAGAAAAGGGCTTCACACATTGTACCCATGTGGGGACTCGAACCCGGGTCTTCGGCGTGACGAGCGAACGCTTTAACCACTAGGCTACCCCACCGCCCCACATACCAAGAGAAGATAACAGTTAAATGTGTGCTCAATCGTTCAATAGTTTTTCAAACTAATCCCCTTAGACCTTGACTTTTGCCACCAATGTTGGATGGATTTTATCCCAGTTTTGTAGAAGTTCTATTCCTGGCTGTCCAAAAAGTTCTCATCATTGTTAGAGTTGAAATGGGTTCCTGGTAGAGTGTTTGATGTTTGGGAACAGATTTGAAGATAAAGGAGTTCAAAACTATGCTAGTGGATTATGGCTATGTCATGATAGAAGAGAAACCTTTTCTGCACAATATTTCACATATCTTACTCTTAATTTCACTACAGAGCAAGTATGTCACTGTCACAACCTTTCCAGCTGATGGGGAAGTCTTTGCCTACTTTGGTGGTGATGTCAATGTTGCAAGTCTTTGGATTCTTGTTTAGACTCACACTGGAAGTGAACCCAGGTTTCATCCATTGTCACAAATCATTGCAAGAACCTTTCTGGATCAGTTCCAAACAGAGCTAGATTATCACCAGACATGTTGTATTTTATGTCTTTTTTGATCTGATGTCAAACACTCGGGAATCAATCCTTTCATCACTACCAAAGTTTCTGTTAAAATAGAATTCAATGACTTCAAACCAAAAAATGGGGAGACTCTGTCCTTTACCTGTTGGTCATCTCCATTTCATTCATTAAATCTTAATCCCTTCTAGATTTGCTGACACATCAGGCCTTGGTGGATAGGGGTTGTCTCCAAGCCTCTCCTTGTCACATTAAACTCCTCTGCCCAGTCGTAATTTGTGGCATAGAAAGGGGAATCCTTCCAAATGTTGTAGTAATATCTTCATAGACGGTTTCGGATGTTGAAACCATTTTCTGCAAGTACTTGCTCACTACTTGTTCCATAAGTTTTCCCAAACCACCTCCTTTGTGATCATCAAAGGTTTGCAATCAACAGCTAGATGTATTTTACCCTCAAATGAGCATAAATTTAAATAGCATTAATTTTTGTCCCTTTGTTTTACTTATATTGTTTCAAGGAAGTCACAGTAGAAAATTTGTAATCACTTGCAATTATGAAACCTTTGGAATATGATTCTGAAAGATTTCCTGGTCAAGCAATTCAGACTTGGATCCATGCAGGAATGAACCTAAACTTGTAGGAGCATGAAAGAGTGAGTGAGTTTAGTTTTGTGTCACTTTTAGCAATATTCCAGCAATATCACGCCAGGGGATACCACTATACCAGAAATGGGTCAAACAAGACGGAATCCAAAATACATATGGATGTTGCAGGAGTGGAAACAAATATATAGATATGAGCGTACACTGATTATGTACTTATTTACTAACCAGTTGTTTCTTCACTAATGACTGCTCAAACTGAAAAAAGATCCAGGGCTTTACTTCCACTTACAACACTTTGGATTAAAGGGTCCCCCCAAACTAACTTTCAAAGGCCCCAGGAAATATGGAGTTCAGTAAAAGTAGTGAGTGAGTGAGTTTAGTTTTACGCAGCATTCAGCAATATTCCAGCTATATGGAGGCTGTCTGTAAATAATCGAGTCTGGACCAGACATTCAAGTGATCAACAGCATGAGCATCGATCTGCGCACTTGGGGATCGATGACATGTGTCAACCAAGCCAGCGAGCCTGACCACCCAATCCCGTTAGTCACCTCTTCCGACAAGCATGGGTTACTGAAGGCTCATTCTAACTCTTCACGGGTCCTATATATATTGAACAATGACCAGTTTCTTCACATTATCATATCTTGTGCAGTGCACTTTGCTATATCACAGCCTCACACTGTTACTATCTACACGCTGAACAAATAATAATGTTCCCTGCATTGCATTTATACTAGGATGACTTGATGGACCAAACTCGTAACAGTTGAAATGTTAGTCCCGTATAATAACCAATATTCCGCCTGATTATCATGTCTTTCTCTCAAAATAGCATCCACCACTACTCGTGGAAATAAATCAGCTCTTGGTTTCTTACCTAAGTACATTCATGTAATGTAAATACGTGAACGTGGACTGACGTTATGAGATCTTTGTGGTTGGGAATCGATGACATGCATGTTACATATATGTAGGACTCAGATCTGTGGCGAGTCTCTAATCTATGGCGGGTTTCCTAATCCGTGGCAGGTTTGATTGTTCGATTGTTACATGACATCATTGCGTAATTACGTCATTACGCGATGACGTCATAATCGCTAACCGTTCCTGACGTTATTCGACACTAGCCGTTTGTGGCGATAGTAAGCTCAGGAAAATCTTCAAAGCTAAGAAAATGGAAACCATAGAAAATGATGGTTTTGTAATTGCGGAGCTACCTACAAAGAAGAAAAAACACGTATCAAAAGATCTCAATGCAGAGACATTTTGGAAAGACATGGAAAAACTTGATACGTGTGGATTACAAAACTGAAAACGCTGAATCCGAAATGGGGAAGTTTAAAGATTTGCAAGATTAGCATGGCCTAAATTGTTGATGCTCTCTTAGTTCTATGATAGTCATAAAAACATTAGCAATATTGAAATATCTTAGTGCTAACAGAGCTTCGAAAATCTAGGCCCAGGGGTATCAGTAAGTCAGAAACACATAAATGAAATGCCATAAACCCCTATTCTACCGAGGTAAAATGTTCTAATGACGATGTGTAGGAAATCCGCCACAGATTAGGGTAGGTACGGCAATCCGCCACAGATTAGGTACGGCAACTAGCCATGGATTTGAAAATCTGCCATGGATTTGGAAATCCGCCGCGGATTTGAGGCCTGCCATGGATCCGAGTACTACATATATTTACACACAACATGCAAAAGACAGAGAACAGACAAAGGTTCTACAATGTCAACACATGACACACAGATCTATATCAAGTACAAATGTTCGCAAGAATCTTCAGTTCAGGTGAGACTGACATAAAATTGATAAGCTTACATACCTATTTCAAAATTTATCCAGTTTACTTGCAGCCTGATGATGAAATACCTAAGTTTAAGTTGCTAATTGGGCCTATTTACTTACAATTCAACATAATGAACAAGGTATCTAAACAAGTTTACTTGGTTTACAGAGGGAACCATTAAAACAAACAAAATAGATGAAACAGCTGTACTGAGAACAGGAATTTGCTGCATATTTTGTGAAATGTTTTGGAAAACTTGTTTCAGTACGTTAATACTTGCAGCTTTATACAGATATGTAATTAATTAGTATCCTTGCAATTTATACAATTAAAATGGTAATTCATTAGATATTGTTTTGAGAACATTTACTCAGTAGGCTTTGTGTTTTGCACATCTGCACTATTAACAACAAATGAAACCACAATAGGAAACTGTCATTTGCAGCTGTATATATATAGTCCGAAGGCCAATTAATTATAGCCGAGAAAAAAACTTTACTTAGAGGGGTTTGAGTCTCCATATTCTCTAACGATAAATATGACAGTTAAATGCCGGAATCTTATAAAAATACCTGGATATATGAATACCTGACAACTCTCACGCGAACACGGATAACATATGACTGTCGAAGATCGTTGACAACGCTCAGCAGATTAATGTCATTTTGCAAGTCTACGATGTCCTGCCAGTATCTCAGAAAAGATAATCTTGATAAGGGTCAGCTGGTTATGTAAATGTTGAAATACTACCTGGTAGTCTTCTGTCTGATACTAAATAATGAATTGGAACCTACTTGATTTAAATCCAGTCTGCCAATGATCCGTTTGCATTGTTTTTGTTTTGTTGGTCAACTTTCATTGACAGGGGCAGCCATTTCCACTTAAGTGTATAGTAGTGGATAATATATTTTATTTCTTAATTCTCATTGACAAATGCTCTTACGACAAGTCTGCATAACACAATGTTTATATTTTTAAAGAATCCCACAGTTTTATAATAAGGACATAGTTTGCAGCAGGGAAGCAATTACCAATGCTGAATATATCATCGTGTAGTTTATCGAGTAGTATCCTAGCGAAGGACGGTAACTCTAGAACACTTCCTGAATGGTGGGCGTTTCTACGCGCAGTGAACTTCTTCACTTATGAACATGATAAATGTAGGTTCGAATCCCAAACTGTGATATCTAAAGATTCTGACGATTCATAAAGAATGGTCCCTCGTTTTGACATAGTAAAATTACAGTTTGTATACAAAAGTAATTGTTTATGTCAAATAATTATCCCTGCATTAAGTGAATCTAAGGACATTGCTATGCAAAATCTATACATGTTTTTGTGTGTGTCTGTCGTTGTCTGCTGTTGCTTTATTGTGTGTAAGATTTTACTTGTATTATATCTGCTTAGCCATTCTTGCTTGTGTAACCAATGAAATTGTGGAGAGAGAGAGAGAGAGAGAGAGAGAGAGAGAGAGAGAGAGAGAGAGAGAGAGAGAGAGAGAGAGAGAGAGAGAGAGAGAGAGAGAGAGAGAGAGAGAGAGAGAGAAGAGAGAGAGTGTAAAGAGGTTAATAGTTTATATATATTGGGAAATTGGCACAATATGAATCAACACGAAATTCCCTCCAACACGTTTCAACTTTTCTTCGGGGAGCTGAAGTTGAAACATGTAGAAGGGACATTCGTGTATCATTATTATTATCATACGCACACACATACGCACGCACACACGCACACACACACATATCTCATTGAACACACCCATTGTCATTAGCTATATATTGCAATTCTCCAATTTTCCACGTCGTATCGGTACTCTTTTTATCAGACCACGTAGGGCTTGAGACATGCAGGTGTGCGACATACTCCCTTTTTGACCATGCAGGGCTTGAGACGTGCGATATGTTCCCTTTTTATCAGACCACGTAGGGCTTGAGATATGCGACATGTTCTCTTTCTATCAGAACATGGAGGGCTTGAGACGTAGAGGTGTGCGACAACCTTTCTATCAGACCATGTAGAGCTTGAAACGTGCAGGTGTGCGACATGTTCCCTTTCTGTCAGACCATGGAGGGCTTGAGACGTACAGGGTGTGCAACATACTCCCTTTAAATCAGACCATGGAGGGCTTGAGACGTGCAGGTGTGCGACATGTTCCCTTTCTGTCAGACCATGTAGGGCTTGAGACGTAGAGGTGTGCGACATACTCCCTTTAAATCAGACCATGTAGGGCTTGAGACGTAGAGGTGTGCGACATACCTTTATATCAGACCATGTAGAGCTTGAAACGTGCAGGTGTGCGACATGTTCCCTTTCTGTCAGACCAGGGCTTGAGACGTAGAGGTGTGCGACAACCTTTCTATCAGACCATGAGAGCTTGTGCAGGTGTGCGACATACTCCCTTTATATCAGACCATGTAGGGCTTGAGACGTAGAGGTGTGCGACAACCTTTCTATCAGACCATGTAGAGCTTGAAACGTGCAGGTGTGCGACATGTTCCCTTTCTGTCAGACCATGTAGGGCTTGAGACGTAGAGGTGTGCGACAACCTTTCTATCAGACCATGTAGAGCTTGAAACGTGCAGGTGTGCGACGTACTCCCTTTATATCAGACCATGGAGGGCTTGAGACGTGCAGGTGTGCGACATGTTCCCTTTCTGTCAGATCATGGAGGGCTTGAGACGTAGAGGTGTACGACATACTCCCTTTATATCAGACCATGTAGGGCTTGAGACGTAGAGGTGTGCGACATATTCCCTTTATATCAGACCATGTAGGGCTTGAGACGTGCAGGTGTGCGACATGTTCCCTTTCTGTCAGACCATGTAGGGCTTGAGACGTAGAGGTGTGCGACATGTTCCCTTTATATCAGACCACGTAGGGCTTGAGACGTAGAGGTGTGCGACAACCTTTTCTGTCAGACCATGTAGAGCTTGAAACGTGCAGGTGTGCGACATGTTCCCTTTCTGTCAGACCATGGAGGGCTTGAGACGTGCAGGTGTGCGACATGTTCCCTTTATATCAGACCACGTAGGGCTTGAGACGTGCGACATGTTCCCTTTCTGTCAGACCATGTAGAGCTTGAAACGTGGAGGTGTGCGACATGTTCCCTTTCTGTCAGACCATGGAGGGCTTGAGACGTAGAGGTGTGCGACATACTCCCTTTATATCAGACCACGTAGGGCTTGAGACGTGCGACATGTTCCCTTTCTGTCAGACCATGTAGAGCTTGAAACGTGGAGGTGTGCGACATGTTCCCTTTCTGTCAGACCATGGAGGGCTTGAGACGTAGAGGTGTGCGACATACTCCCTTTATATCAGACCACGTAGGGCTTGAGACGTGCGACATGTTCCCTTTCTGTCAGACCATGTAGAGCTTGAAACGTGGAGGTGTGCGACATGTTCCCTTTCTGTCAGACCATGTAGGGCTTGAGACGTAGAGGTGTGCGACATACTCCCTTTATATCAGACCATGTAGAGCTTGAAACGTGCAGGTGTGCGACATGTTCCCTTTCTGTCAGACCATGTAGGGCTTGAGACGTAGAGGTGTGCGACAACCTTTCTATCAGACCATGTAGAGCTTGAAACGTGCAGGTGCGCAACGTGTTCCCTTTCTGTAAGTCCACGTAGGGCTTGAGACCTGCAGGTGTGCGACGCGTTCTCTTTTCTCAGACCTTTTAGGGCTCGAGACGACAGTCGCAGAACAGAGGCCATTCCTGGAATTAAGCTCTGAAGTGTGCTATCACTGTACAGATCTTCTCCGATAGAGCCTATGATCTTCTCGGATATAGCCTATCGGCATAGCGGTAAAGACTGAGTGAGCGAGTATGATTTTACGCCAGCAAACATCACAAAGGGCTAGACTAGAAGTGGTGTTGTACCCGAGTGTTCGGCGTGACGAGCAAACGCTTTAACCACAAGGCTACCCAACCGCCTGACATAAATGACCTTGCTTGTTCATCCCCTTCTGTGTCCCACTCCGTGGTATTGTTGAAATACTGGTAAAAGCGGCGTAAAATCTTATTCACTCACTCATCCCCTTCGCCGTGACCCGTGAAGATCCGGGTTTGAATTGGTCTTCAGCAACTCGACAGCAACCCATGCTTGTCGTAAGAGGCGACTAACGGGATCAGGTGGTCACGTTCGCTGACTTGCTTGACACATGTCATCGTATCCTAATTGCGTAGATCGATGCTGAGTGCAGCGTTAAACCCATGCTTGTCGTAAGAGGCGACTAACGGGATCAGGTGGTCACGTTCGCTGACTTGCTTGACACATGTCATCGTAACCTAATTGCGTAGATCGATGCTGAGTGCAGCGTTAAACAACAATCAAACCAAACCATTCGCAGTGTTTGTCAAATTTGTCAAAGTTCGTTTAAATCAAAGTTATCTGGAAATAATGACAAGGTTCCAAAATATTTTCTATTTGGTGAAAGAAAGACAAATATACTACACACGAAGTTAAGACATTCGTGTAGTTCATTACAAGCAGATCTGTTTCGGGTTATTCTATCAGAGAGTAGAGCTTGCAATTGTGGTGCTCCGGTGGAAGATGCTAACCATTTCTTCTTAAAATGTCCAAAATTTGTCAGTTGCCGTTTTGATCTGAAGAAAGACTTTAAACTATCAAAAAGTTCAGTTAGACATTGATACCATTCTTTACGGCAATTCTGCTCTGCCAAATACTATCAATGAAAATATCTTTAGACATGTGCATAAATACATTGAAGCGCTTCAATTAATCAATAATATGTCTCAATATTATTATGTCCATCCATTACGTCCAACCATTATTGTTCATGTTTCTGATGGGAGCGGGCGGTAATAAGTTACATAACTTGTGCCCAATCCATTTCAACACTGAATAAAATATGTTCAAACAAACAAGTGTTTGTCATCAAATCAACAATTCCAAGACAATGCCTCTATATCTGTCCATTGTTGTCTGTTCATCTGACCGTTGTTGTCTTTAACTATATATATATGTTTATGTCTATACTATCAGTCGGTCCCATATTCCGACTGCTTGTGTAAGGACAACCACGAGCAGCATGTGCCGCTCGAAGGAGTGAGTGAGTATGGGTTTACGCCGCTTTTAGCAATATTCCAGCAATATTACGGCGGGCGACACCAGAAATGGGTTTCACCCATTGTGCCCATGAGGGGAATCGAACCCGGATTTTCGGCGTGACGGGCGAACGCTTTAACTACTAGGTTAACTGCTACCCCACTGCACCACTGCACCAGCGACCCGCCGCTCGAAGGAAAAGCCCAGAGGTTGAGCTGGAAGTCCGCTCACCTCATTTATTTTTCTGCGGGAAAATTTGCTCATTGCTGTCTTTGTGTAGTTGTTTATCATTTACGGTATAGCAAACTGAAGAAATTTGTACTCAGCGTATTTCCTCGTCTTAGGGGGCGGTGGGGTAGCTTAATGGTTAAAGCGTTGGCTCGTCACAACGAAGATCCGGGTTCGAACCCCCACATGGGTACTGTGTGTGAAGCCCATTTCCGGTGTCCCCCACCGTGATGTTGCTGGAATATTGCTAAAAGCGGCGTAAAACCAAACTCAGTCAGTCAGTCCTCGTCTTAGTTCGGAGCTAGTTCCCCTGTAGGCATGTACCGGTTGACAGCGTATCCAAAAGTTATATCAAAATCATTAAAAAGAAAATTAGAAAAGAAAAGAGTTACAAATCACGATATTCACTGAACCGTACAACATACTTCCACTGTTATTGATTTTTAATGAAAGTCACATATGATCGTGATCAATGCCTCATCGATCACCCATATTGCACCACACCCGAGGATATTTCGCTTTATTAAGTTCTAATAATATTCGTAGAAACGAAATAAGAAACTCGAGAAATATACTTA